TTAAATCCATTCTTCACTATGAAGGGCTCTGTATGATTGTAAATCTTGTGTACAGGTAGTCCTTGACTTATAACCACAATTTCTTTTGCTAAGTGAGACAGTTGTTAAGTGAGTTTTGCCCCATTTTACAAACTTGCTTGCCACAGTTGTTAAGTGAATCACCGCAGTTGTTAAGCTAGTAACATAGTTGTTAAGAGAATCTAGCTTTTCTTTCATCTTCTCTGATGTTTCTCACCTCTTCCTTTTCCGTTCAAGCCATGGCATCTTTAAGGCCATCTGTCATCTGCCCTGCAGGTAAAACAAGTGAATGAAGCATAATTGGGCGGTTTTGAGGTGTCATGTTTGAATTAAGTCATCTGGTAAAGGAAAAGGATTTGGAAAAGCAACCAGCATGCAATTATTAATGCAATTTACAAATGTCATTTGTATTTGATTTATTTCTTCTGAAGGCAGGTGTGTAAATTCCCTTAATCCTCTCCCACCCTTTGTTTAAATTGATTTGGAAATCCTTTGTGCTTTGATTGGGTTACAATGGAGAAGAAAGCATGTTGAAAGGCTTTCCCCTTGCTTTAATTGACTTCACTAAGGGAAAAAAAATACTCTCCCCCCCCCCGGAAATTTTCTGTGCTCATTCCTAAATCCATTTCTGAACATTTTTTCAATACTTCAGATAATCCATAAATTAATTCAATCATCCATTTGTCTCATTGCCTGTAGGAACTTAGGAGTACCTATTATCTTCAGCCTGCATGTAGATATGATAGGAGATAACCTGTTGGTATTTACTTTACAATCAACAAAGATTTCTATCTTACAATTTCTCCTTTATGTCAGCACAGATAAAAGAAGATAGCTTGAGCTCAGTCTGAAAAAAGAAGAAAAAAACTTAATCTGATTGATAAGACCTTCTGTTCTTAGGTGTTATTTTCTTTTTGCATTTGTCTGTTCCTAGGGTCCAAATTTCAACTTCTTCATTCTTTGGATCAAAAGATTGGCCATCAGTCTCATCTGGTAATTCTTTCATATCAAGAGTGGAGTCTCCATTCTTTCAGGAGCTGAAAGCTTTCTTTCATGGCTGTTGTCTACAACATGCCATTGCTGCAGATAGGTGTCGTTTTTATGTATCAAGGATAGACTAATCTAGTGCTTTCTAGTTGTTTTTTATTTCAGCCCCCATCAGCTTCAAAGAGCTGAGGTAATGGCAGTAGTTTGCCGAGGTGGTTATCCAACAGGCTGGAAGACAACAGTTAATGAAGTATGCTATTGGTATGTCATAAGAAAACATAAAAAACCGTCAGTGATTGTCCTTTCTAGTATAAAATGTGCATATTAGATTTCTGCTGCCAAATCTTGAAATGCTAGAATGATGAACACCCTCTATATTTTTTTGCTTTATTGATTAAAAATCAGGTGATGGTATCCAATCCTTATGGTTTTGTTGGTTAAAAATCAAGTGATAGTATCCAACTTGTATTAGCTATTCTGTTATTTTAAGATTCAATCCCATATGGTTTATTCAGTTTGTAAAAGTTGGCAAAAACAAACATGGAAGTATTATGCCTATCCATTTTTGCAGAACCATTTGGCAATGATAGATCATTCTTATGACTTGGATACTTACTGGATTGATTTGGATACATTAGGATTTTCCAAAATTACCTTTAACTTTTTCTTTTCTTTTTCTTATCATGACCTCTTTTTGATTTTCATGTTTAGTCCTATCCCCTTAAATAGTTGTTTCTAGAATCTCACTGACCATCTATTACTCTCCATATCAAGGTATTATTACCTTCAATTGTTTGCTGCTCTTATGCCAAGCTCAACTCAGTGATAAAATCTGGAAACATACCTGGAATATGTAATAGCCTACAGGCCATCTCTCCTGGCCATTTTCAATGTTACACAGAAGTGTGTGTGTGTGTGTGTGTGTGTGTGTGTGTGTGTGTGTGTGTGAGTGAAATAATACTGGATGCAGACTGGATTCATTGTAGTGAGTGAGAGAAGCTCAAACACCATGCATTTATATTAGGCATTCCCAAAAAATTAAAAGCAATTGCAGAAAGGCAGTGCTTGTGCAATTCTTATTTTAATATGCTGGACACCAGATCACTTTTATTGCAGAATGAGAATAGGTAGCGCAGCAACAAAGAAAAAATTGAAACATATGATTAGTCTTACACTAAAGTAGATCATGCGAGCTGAAGATGGGTTTCAGCTTGGCAGCAATCACAGCATTGGATTTGAGAAATTTGTTCACATTTCTTCCTTAAATGCTATAAAATTTCCTAGTATGTCACAGAGCTTATTTCTAGATATTCCTAAAGTTGCATTATCCAAGTTTTTAATTTGCTTTTGAAGGTTATCTGGGAAAGATTTATATTTTAGTATGTATTAAAGTATGCTTTGTATGTGTGTGAGATGTGCACTTAATTGATTATATGACCACAATTTAGCCCAGATCTGGATGGAATAATGTTTTGGGAAACCCATTATTTTCCAATTCCAATCCCCAAGAGGAAGAACAAAACCCAAATGTATCCAGAACATCTATCTTATCAAAAGGTGAAAATCAATGAATAACTAAAGCAGTTCAAATAAAAATAGAATTTTTATTAGGTGAAAATCAACATTATGAAAAAAAATAAAAGTGAAATTCCAAAATATAGTGTGACCCTGAGTTCAGCTGTACCTTTTATTCAACATTTGTTTAAAAGTATTAATTATCTGTGTTTAGCCCATGGTATTAAACAAAAGCAGAGCAATCACAATACAATAAAGTCTTGCTCCTGAAGAATATTCCCAAGATACAACATGAAATGACCATTTTAAAGCCACTTTATTTAAAGTGCTAATGTTTTATCATTAGGTGGCTTTCTTTGATGTAAAATTAAAGAAGGCTAAAAGCAGAGTCAAAGCTTGGTAGCATTTTAATATCATGGAAGGAGAAAAATTGTTAGTGGTATTAATACACAGTATATCATTATAATTATAGGTAGTAGAATGAAATCCATTAGGCTTTTATTCTGACCCTGCCAACTGTTTTGGCTGGCATGGCAAGGGTATTATTGGAGCAGATCACTTAAAAGTGAAGAACAATCTTTTCCCTAAGATAAAAAAATAGTAAACCCCTAAGGTAATTGGCAGAGAATTTGATGTAGTCGTTAAAGAGGTTGAATTAAAGTCAACCCCTAGTCACTGTCAGCCCTTGGAAGAAGGTAAAGCAAGCCACTTTCAAAATATTTCCAAGAAAACTTCATGGACTTGTCCAAGACTGATTCAAAGGCACTCATTTACATTTAAGGTAATTGGCAGGGATAAACCTGATCTGGTTTTCTTGCATGCCCATCAACAGACTTGATAAATAAATGCAATGAATTGTACAATCATTGACTTTTACCTCTATAACTCCCCATTTTTCTATTTTTCCTGATAAAAAGTGTTAGAGGCCCCAACCTCATTTTTATTTTCAAAAACTTCTTTTTTAACTTTCTATTGCCCAATAAAAATATTAAATCAATGTGAGAAGAAGTGGGTTTGAGTAGCAGGTATTTGGGGGGGGGCTAAAATAATAATGCTTTATACTATGAGACTCTTTGTGTATATTTTTTAAATCCTGGCTTTTTGCCTAGATGGTATTCAAGAGAGAGAACAAAAATCTATCAGAAAACCAAATTAGATAAAAACAATTAAAACCATCATGAACTAGTTTGATGTGGAAAACCTGGCTAAAATGGAGAGATTTGACTTCTTTTCTAAAAGGAGAAAAAAGAATTGGATACAGTTCTTGTGGAACTAATTCTATAGCTTGGAATAACTCAAGAAAGAAGAAAAAGAGGGCATTTTTAAAGAGGATTGCCTTGCTATCCAGATCAATTTCTTTCAAGTTTACCAGCCAGCTGGATATTTATGAGTTATCTGGCACCCAAATGTAACCTTAGGGAGCAAGTAAAAACTTATTATCTCAGCTTCACTAACTCAGCTCTGGTTTATCAGAGCTCTGACCTAGAAAATACAGCTGTAACAAGTATTATCCCAATAATGCATATAGCTGAACAACTAAAGCACATAACAACTATTATGATTACAGTTCTCTCTCCGTGCCACCTGATATATGCATATCTACAAAGTAGTTCCCTTTCAGATCCCTGAGAAAAAATATATAGTTCATTGAGCACATATGTTGCATGTAGAAGGGCTCAGATCCAAACTGCAACATTTTCACAGAGGGCTGGAAATGTTAATGCTTTAAAACTTGAAGCGATGCTGCCAGGTAGGATCAAAATGATCATACAGAGACTCCAGTGGTCTGATTCAATATATATCAGTTTCATATATTCTTCCAGTTATTTTCAGCATCTCCCTATGAACCCCAAATTAACCATACTTAACAATAAATTAAGATTTGTATCATGCCACTAACTCTAATGAAAAATTAAAAGGTTGGAGAGAGCCTAAGAATAACATTGTATAATGAATATATTACTTGCCAACAGAACAGATTTGTTATTGGTTGTGAATAAGGGCCACTTTTTTTTGCAGAATTGAATATAACTTGCTTCTAATTGCTTCTGCAGTGTTAAAAACACATTGCTTGTAATTTACCTGTGATGTGCTTATTGCACAACTCTTATAACAAAAGATTCTTTAACTTCTTATCAAGCATAAACTAATTTGAGAACCCATTTAAGATCAGTTTTCCCCAACAACAGCTGCCTTTGATGTGTCCAGGAGAGACATCTTGGGAGTTGTCTGTATACTTCCAGATCAAATCCTCATTTGTATGACAATCAAAGATCCTGAAGATCTTGTTGAATCTATTACCAATACTGCACACATTGTCTTTTACATAAGTATCACTTTCCCACTCACTCACTCAATATGTAAATGTCTGTGCAAAACATAGCTCTTCACAGCATATCTGTCCATTTATGTAGCTCTTGGTAATCACTTGATGAACAAAAAAATAGTGCAAATTGATTGCTATTGGTCATCAAAATCCTTCAAAGCGTCATGAACACTGTTCTTGGGTCTTGGTATCCCACAAAATAGGGAATAGGCATTGGCCAGATAGCACCTGGCTGTCCTCCAGAGGTGTTTCTGGGATCCAAGTTGGGAGGGGGCACTGGAGGGAAAGGAATGCCAGAAGAATCCCTCCTGGTGAAAGTCTGTTGATGTGGTGAATAAACATAGGACAAGGGACCACTTTGAGGTCCAAAAGGGAGGTGACCATAAAATGGTATGCCATGGAAGGATGGTTCTGGCCTCATCTCCTGCAGTTGACGTTTCAGTTTCATCCGTCGGTTCTGGAACCATGTCTTGATCTGCAGAAATAGAAACAGGAGTGGATGAATCAGTATACTTTATTAGCACAAGTGGAGAGTCTCATTCTGCTCCCTTTATATTTCAATAGAGTGAAGAAACAAATGCTGATATCCAGTGTTGGATATATAATGGCATCTCTGATCAACATTTGAAACGAAGACTGTTTTATATTATAAAACTTGGTGCCTTCAAGATGCACAAAGGAAACAAAGCCTGCCTAGTATTCTTAGCCATCATAGCTGAAGACAAACTAAGCATTGGGAGGTCACCAGATGGAGAATGAATGTGGTAAATTTCTATAAATTAAATTACAGCACATTAAACCAATAAAATAAACCTACCCACCAAAGAAGCATTTGCAACACTGATTAAAATTCAGTTCATATTCATCTGGATGAAGATCCTGCCTAAATTGGCTTAGCCTATCTTAAGCCCAAACATCTGTCCTTAAACCTTGTTGAAAATCCCCATTCCCAAATCTCTTTTCCCTTTCCACTGAAATGGTGATAGGCCAAGGAATTCTGGCAAAATTAAATTAGGGTCCAGAATGCCGATGAGAGGGCCATAGATTATGGCCCTTTCTTACTTCTTGGAAATAGAAGACTTTCCCCGCAAATCTTTCGACGGGCTTCTCTCATTACCTGGACTTCAGAGAGTTGCATTTTGCTGGCCAATTTGCGTCTTTCAGCCGCTCCCAAGTATTTGTGCCGCTTGAAGGAGGTCTCCAGGGTGCTGATCTGTTCCAAGCTGAAAGCAGTGCGCAAACGGCGAGTATTCGCATTTCGGCTTCCACCGTCCTCTGGAGTCTGGCATTCGGAGAAGTTTCCTTCGCCGTCGGACCCGCACTCCGTAGTGGTCCACACCATCTGGGAAGCAGCTAATGATTCCGAAAAAAACAGGTAAGGGTCGGGGTCAGAGGGGAAAACGCTTCTCGTTTTTCTTTCTCCAAGAAAAAATGGCTGGGTGCCCCGATCTATTGCTTAGAATTAGATGGACTGTGTTGTAACCACTTCATCCCCGGATAGAATGGCCTAGGTCGTCGCTTGACCATTAATGGAAATTACAGACCAACAAATCTGGAGCTCATCTGACTGAGGAAGGTTTGGAAAAGCGCATTTCACAAAAGTTTACATATTAAGAAAAATGGAAAGGCAGCATTCAAGGAACGCGGCGTAAGTGGGTCCCAAGTATACCCAACTCCTTCATACAATTTAGAACCTATTCCGATTTTTTATCAATTCTCTTGGGATGGGAAATAAATGGAACTACTTCCTTTAAAGTGAACTTTAGGAATATATATATATATTAAAAAGGGAGTCTTTAACTTTGTCCATTGCTATCTCTAAAAGCGCAAAGTGACTCCCAGCCTCCAGTGTCACTCCTCTTCCACTTAGGTTGCCCTCTAGTAAGCCTAGAGGGGAGGAAATTTCCCCGAGCTCAGCGAGGCTAGTGCTTGTTCTAATAAGCACAAGATCAGGCAACATCAGGTTTCTTTCTACCGGTAGGGAAGCAACTGGCAAAGTTTCCGAAGTTGAGGTTACTGATTTAATCTGACAGGTCCCTTGATCGTCACGCAAAGAAGCAAGAGAGAGCGGGTTCGCTAGCTCTCCCTGGAAGAAGGCGAGGCTCGAGGGCTTAAGCACAGTCCTCGGCTCCCTTTTATTTTTATTTTTTTAGTTAGAACACGACAACCGGGTGTCTCCAACTTGGGGCTCCGATCGTATTCCGGACTGGAATCCCATCGCCCTCAGAGTAATAGAAGCTGCCCGCCACGAGGAGTTGGAGCACCCCACCGCCGCTCTCTGCATCGTGTTCTCTGCCTACCGCCTGATCTAAAACACAACACGCCGAGGCCTAGGCCTCAACCAGCCCTGCAGCACTCCCATTTGAGGCTCCCAATGCCTCCATCGGTCATTCCCGGTGCTCTTTCCCCGTTCTAGCCCGATCCTTTGCCCGCGGGCGCCGCGGCAGAGAGTTCAGCGGGAAATCCCACCCACGATCTGCACGAGGGAGGTACCTGTGGACGACGAAGGCAAAGGCGGCCTGTTCTTCTGGAGCGAAGGGAGAGGCCCCGGAGGCGGCTCGACCAGCATACCCTCACTCGGGGTCTTCTCCCTGGCCGGAGGATTATCCTGCTGGGCCCGGCCGCCTTCGGATGGGGCGGCCTCTTTGGCTTCTGGCCTGCTCTGGGCATGCCTGCTGCTGGGCCGGCTGCTCTGGGACAGCCATTCTACGGAGAAAGGAGCCTTGGTCATGGCGCGCTAGCTTCGGGCTGTGTGTCCACGCTAGGCGTGCCCGCCCGCGTCCCTTCCCTTATGAGCCGCGGCCCCGAGGCAAGCGCCGCTGGAGTAAACAAACATCAAAGGGCAGATAAGCGCCGTCTAATTATCATCGGGCCTCCCCCGACAAAAGAGGCTGTTCACACATTTTCCAAAGGCCGGCCGAGGCTGGCTCCAATGTGTCTGCCGAGGGCTCAGGTCGCTCTGTGGTAAGCGATTTACAGGCCCCGCCATATCCTTTGCCGCTCAGCCTCAACGACACGAATTGCCCGGCTTTATGGAGGGGGTGGCTTCAAAAGGCCATCGGGACTGTAAATAGTGGCTTGTCTCGAGAGGAGATTTGATTGGGGCCAATTTTTCTTCACATCCATATTTCGCAAGCCTCTTGGTCGCTTAGGAGGTTATCAAACAGGGCCATGATTAGCTTCCACCTTAAAGAGCTGTCAAACTCATTTGGTGGGTTTGGAGACACCACACACACACACACACACACACACACACACACACACAAACACACACGGGAATGGCAGAGTGACTGCCTATGGCCCTGAGGTCATTGGAAATGGTTTTACACACAGAGACACAGACACACAAACATACAGAGACACACACACAAATGGCAAAGCCCCTGTGGCCCTGAGGTCATTGGAAATGGTTTTACACACAGTGACACAGACACACATACACAAACACACAAATGGCAAAGTGCCTGTAGCCCTGAGGTCATTAGAAATGGTTTTACACACACAAATGGCAAAGTGCCTGTGGCCCTGAGGCTATTGGAAATGGTTTTACACACAGAGACACATACACACACATACACATACATACATACAGAGAGAGAGACATGAGAATGGCAGAGTGACTGCCTGTGGCCCTGAGGCCATTGGAAATGGTTTTACAGAGCTTTTCTGACAATCTGTACCAGTCGCTTCCCCTTCCCTCCACAAGTAAACTATTTGGAGTTAAATGGAGCCAATGTCAGTGCCTGACATTCTTGCTCTCTTTTCTCCCAACAATGGTAATTTATTACTTAATAAATAAGATAGGAGTTGTAGTAATTCTATATCACTCCTTTCTCCAAGGACTTCAGCTGTATCTGTTAGCTGCTTCTTCGGATTTGATCATCACAAATGTCTTCTGAGAGAGGGGAGCTGTCAAAAGCAATTGCCTCCAGGTTACCTCATATATTTTTGGCTGAATTACTGGACAGCCTAGTCCAATTATAGAGAAATGGAAAGAAGAGGTAGGTTGAAAATTAGCCTGATTCATACATTTGTCTGTTTTATGGAAGGAGATGAAACTGGGTCAATTGATCTGTTTTCAATGTTATTTCCACCATTAAAAAAAAATCTATTTTTCTCCCCTAGATGCCATTATTTTATCCTCTTGATCAGTATAAATATTTGTAAGGATAACTTTTAAAAAGGATAACTCTGCAACAAACTTTGCTGCTCACGGTTTCCATGGAAGGTTAAAAGAACTACATTAATTCAGGTTCCTCTGAGTGCAGCTTAAGTGACAGACTTCATTTATTAAGAAATTATTTCCTATGGCCTCAAAAGCTGTATTGAAGTGTTATGTTTCTTAAGCTAATTCATTTTTTAAAACAGGACAAAAACTTTTGAATTACAAGCATATGGTGGTATTAAAAAATGAAAGAAGGGGTATTGGAAATGAATGCAACCAGCATTCAAACTACTTTTGCACACTCAATTATTGTATTACCTTAAAGCTGGATGTGGGAACAATGTATGTTAGCTTCTGTCAAGTGCGGAGATACCTTTCAGAAGGACTTTCCAAATTCTTTCCCTCCCAATTTTGGAAACATACATCCCAATTCAAGCAGTTTTGAGCCAGATGTGTGTGTGTTTTGACATGCATAAAATCCATTATACCTAAACTTGTAGCTTTCAGTGGCCTCAACCCATTGCTAATTCTGACTTAATTCACATTAAAATACAGTTTGTTTTAGCTACTGTTTGATTAAATATGTGTTTGGACAATGCATTAAACTATAAATCATAGCCTGCCAATTTTAATGATGATTTGTATTCATAAGATAACTGAAAAATGTGGGTTAGACAGCATCACCACCAGATGGATTCGTGGCCCTACCCAGCGTGTGGTCCTCAATGGAATTGCATCTACATGGAGGGAAGTATGTAGTGGGGTGCCCCAGGGCTCTGTTCTGGGCCCAGTGCTCTTCAACATCTTCATTAATGATTTGGTTGAGGGGATAGATGGGGAACTCATCAAATTTGCAGACGACACCAAGCTGGTAGGAACAGCCAACACTCCAGAAGATAGGCTTGAGATACAGAAGGATCTTGACAGACTTGAACATTGGGTGATATCTAACAAAATGAAATTCAGTGGTGAAAAAAGATTCTACATTTATGCAAGAAAAACCAAATGCACAAGTACAGTATAGGTGCTACCTGGCTCAATAGTAGTAACTGTGAGAGGGATCTCGGAGTCCTAGTGGACAGTCACTTAAATATGAGCCAGCAGTGTGCTGCAGCTGCCAAAAAAACCAACACAATGCTAGGCTACATTAACAGAGGGATAGAATCAAGATCACATGAAGTGTTAATACCACTTTATAACACCTTGGTAAGGCCACACTTGGAATACTGCATCCACTTGTGGTCACCATGATATAAAAAAGATGTTGAGACTCTAGAAAGAGTTCAGAGAAGAGAAACAAAGATGATTAGGGGACTGGAGGCTAAAACATAAGGAACGGTTGCTGGAATTGAGTATGTCTAGTTTAATGAAGAGGACTAGGTGACATGATAGCAGTGTTCCAATATCTAAGGGGTTACCATAAAGAAGGGGGAGTCAAGCTATTCTCCAAAGCAGCTGAGAGCAGGACAAGAAGCAATGGATGGAAACTAATCGGGGAGAAAAACAACCTGGAATTAAGGAGAAATTTCCTGACAGAACAATTAATCAGTGGAACAACCTGCCTCCAGAAGTTGTGAATGCTCCAACACTGGAAGTTTTTAAGAAGAGACTGGACAGCCATTTGTCCGAAATGGTATAGGGTTTCCCGCCTGAGCAGGGGGGTGGACTAGATGATCTCCAAGGTCCCTTCCAACTTTACTACTATTATTATTATAATTGTGTAGGAGCCTAAATTGATAGGCACATCTGTATAGGCATAAACATGAATACACGGACATAAACATGAATAGACTCAGGAGAGACTATAAAACACTCAGTTGTGAGCACAAGCTGTTTTGCAATCAAACTGAAATCTCTTTTGTTCCAGCTATGCAGTATGTTCTCTAGAGACTAGTTAGATACAAATATATTAACTCCAAAACTTCATTGAGCACATAATAAAAGTTGTCTGGCTTCATAATTTCAGCATTAAGTGCAAGACAGACTCAAATCCTGCCTGAGCAGGGGGTTGAACTAGAAGACCTCCAAGGTCACTTCCAACTCTATTATTATTATTATTATTATTATTATTATTATTATTATTATTATTATTATTATTATTATTATTATTATTATTATCATCATCATCATCATCATCATCATCATTATTATTGAAAGCCAGTGAAGTATACTTCTTATGGGTGTTTGATTTGGATCAGAGAAATGCAGAAGGTTTGCATGCAATTATAAAACTTATTGGATAATTGGTCCAGTCACACGGGTAGTTATCCTAACATATCTCACAAGATATTAGTCACAGAGATATAATACCTGTTAGAGAAAAGGCAAGATATAAACAAAGTGTGGTTCCTAAAACCGAATTTCCAGAACAAACCAAACATGAAACAAATCAGAGGTCAGATATTGTGTGTAGATCAGTGATATCAAATCCAGTGATGTGGGCCATTCTCGACAATGCTCAGCACTGGAAGGAAATTGTTGATGTGCCACTTTTCCTGTTCTCCTGCCCTGCATGCCCAGTCACCTTCCAGCACCAGATTACTCTACTGCACTGTAATAACGGGAGTAGCAATAACATCATTTTGTGAATTTTCTAAAACAAGTGTCATCACCAACACTTGAGCACCAAAAGTGCTGCAGAAGGCATTTTTCTTCACTTCCAACAATGTCCCCACAAGCTATTCTCATCTTAAAGTTGTTTTTCCTTGGAAAAAGGACATAATTCAATGGTGGATGGTCTCTTTGTGTAAGGAAGTCCTCTAGAATGTTTTCCCCAATCTTTTTTCCTAGTCTTTCCATTGTGTTAGGAATATAACTACCATAATTGTTATTCCAATACAATTGGAAAGCATAGCTTAGAGAAAACTGTGGAGCATCTTCAGGACAGAGGGATCAAGATGAGAGTTACTAAATGACCTTAGCTAATCTTGAAATTCTAAGCAAAGTCAATTATTCAGGAAAACCTAAGATTGTAAAGTAGAGTGGGATGGAAAAATCTCAAAAGAAAGGAATTCCAAATTTGTTTTGTTTTGTTGTTAAAGGAAGAACCTAGACATATCCATGAAGTTATCCAGGAATTGAGACCTTACATGGTAATGTGGTAAAAAGGCTGTTTCTTAAGGTCTTTTTATTGTCTATTCAGAATATAGCATAAAGATGAACAAATAGTCTAATTTTAAGGTTTTGCATGCTTTAAACTGATTATTTTTAAATTAATACAAATAGGAACTGCATTAGTAAGACTGACATATTTCTGGATCTCCAGATGAGAAACTGGATTCTTCCAGTGAATTATTTTGATCGTTTCTCAACAATGAGAACATAATAATAATAATAATAATAATAATAATAATAATAATAATAATAATAATAATAATAATAATAATAATAATAATAATAATAATAATAATAAAGTTGGAAGGGACCTTGAAGGTCATCTAGTCCAACCCCCTGCTCAGGCAGGAAACCCTATACCATTTCGGACAAATGGCTGTCCAGTCTCTTCTTAAAAACTTCCAGTNGGTTAATTGTTCTCACTGTCAGGAAGTTTCTCCTTAGTTCTAGAT